TATCAACCGCGGAATCTCGTGGTCAACACCGCGCTACGTCGTCGGCTTTCGTCGATCCAGTTGTTCTGTTGTCCAAGGTCGGGCCACAGACCAGAGTCGCGGCGACCTAAAGGACGGAAGGGTTGTGGTTAGTAGATGGGAATGGAGAGCTCTTCATCTTCGAGGTCTCTAGTCTCTTGTTCTACTCGGGTTTTTTGAGTGCTAGTTCGCGTCATGGCGGCTTGGAATTGGCGCAATTTTCGAAGTGATCTGGAGGTCAACTTCGAAAAAAGGAGGAGCGACAACCCAGCGAACTGACGAACTTGCAGGTCAGGATCCAGCTCGAAGTGCCACATCATCCTTGAATGGTATCCAGGATCGCGTAGACTTCACTAGGATTGGTACGGCGAGACTACAACGTAGGTTGGTCTCTGACCTGGTCGTCGTCGTCCAAAGAATGGCTTGTCAGCCATTTGGATTTCGACGTGGAGCTCAGCTCAAGATTGAGCTTGCGGTCTTGCGTCAACACCATCATCTTGATGTGACCTGATTCTCTTGTCTGAATTTGCCGAAAAAACGGCAAGATCCAGCTCTCATCGTCCGACCATGACGAGAGAGGTCAACCATCGGTTTTTCGAACGCAACATCCATCAAACTCACTCCGCTAGCCAATTACGTGAGGTAAACAACCTCCACCTAGTCTCGGCTTGGGGCAAGTGTGACGAACGAGTTGGGTCATAACCTGCGAACGGAGGCGATGTGCAGTACGATGTAGACATGGGATGACACAAAAGAATAAGCTAAAAATTAAAAGGGGATTCTACGTCTACCTCGTTCTAGCGAGTCCCGGGAGGTTCACCTCGTGATTGCCAACCACCAGCTGGTTTTGGCTCCTCTCGCAAGAACAGTCCAAGTGGGTGATTTGATCTGCCCCGACGGCAGTATCAGTGGCAGCGCAAACTCCACCCGTAATTTGAGATCTAAGGATACCCCTATGCATTTCACCGGGGGAGAGTGTTGTATTAGTAAATTCCCATCTGTGGTTTGGCGCACCTGCTACACAGTCCCAGAGAAACAGGTGATCAAAAGCCGTGTTGTGTAGGCTTGTGCCTTCATCTGAAGAGTGGTGTCGTCGTAAGTGAAATATTGCTTAGGATTGGTAATGTTACAATCTCTTGGGCGGAAGTGCGCCTTTGGTTCGTCGCCACTGGCGGAATTCCTCTCCAAGAAATCGGCTTCGGTCGTCTGAATTAAAAAGCAGCAGCCACCTATCCGAGGGAAAGACGCTGTTTCCTCCGACTAGCTAGACTACGGTACTTGACCAGCTCGACAGTCGGCATTTCATTCATATGGGGGAAGATCCACCCCCCAAAAGACATGCATCCACACAAATGATTTAGACATTGTGGGCTCTTTTGCTTACCGCAAATAAGCATACAGTGGCTAGCGAAACTCTACCGGAACCCCTGTACGATGTATTGACGATGGGCACCAAGAAATTCAACTTGTAGCTACGGTGTTGCTGGCTAGATGCGTACTGTACGATACTCTACTATTTATTAGAGCTTGAGAACGAATCTAATCTAATCTAATCTAATCTAATCTAATCTAATCTAATCTAATCTAATCAATGCATGAAATCATCCGCCCTCCAGTCAGTTTCTAAACTAGCTAGCTAGCTACCTCCCTAATCAAAGAGCTCATCAAAGAAATCCTTCTTGTTTTTCTTTTTCTTCTTCTTCTCCTTTTTGGATTCCTTGGGAGATTTATTTTGCTTCTTGTTTTTCTCTGGCTGATCTGCTGCTGCTTTTGTGGTTGTAGCTGATGAATCCTGATCCTTTTTTCTCTTTTTGGTGGTAGTTTTCTGCTTTTTGGAGGATCGAGACAAGGTGATTTTGGATGCCTTTGGTGCAATGGTTGTGCCCCTCCCCTCTTGTGCCATCTGTTCGGCATCATCGTCCCCCATCACTGCTTGTCCAACATCATCATCGTCTTCTTCTTCCTTTTTGACAGTTTTCTTTGTTTCATTCTCCCTGTGGGTTGTGGTTGTGTCAGCTTGGCCAGTGCTCTTTTCAGTCTCTTGAGTGTGAATTGCTGTTTCTGTATCATTTACCAGTGATTCTTGCTGATTCCGTGAACTGTTCATTTTGGAGGGAGTTTCCTTCTTTTGTTGTTGTGGCCCAGGCTCTGTGAATTGGATTCGTAGTTTTGGGATGTCCATGGCCTGAATCATCTCCCGTTCCTTTTGGAATCTGGTTGGAATGGATGATTCCTCCATTGTCTCCAAGAGAGTATCCAGCACTTGATGCCCCAGTCTCATGAGCAGTGTTCGAATCCGTGCCAATGCCGCCACGGCCACGGTACAAAATGGCAAAAAGAAGCCACGGTAGACTTCCAAAAACAATGGCTCGCTGGCAAATTCCAGGCGAGAGAGAATCTCAGGAAGGCGCGTGGTCAGAATGGTTTGGATCTTTTGTAAGCGCTCCATGGACCGCTGTTTGGCTCCCAAGTCTCGTTGCAATGAAGTGGCATCCCACAAATCTTCCTTTTGGCGTTTTGCTTTTGTTGGTTGTTGACGCTCGTCCTTCCAGGCGTGGACCAAGTCGACCAGATCCAATGTGTCACTCGATAAAATCGCACGAAGGGCCATTCGAGTTCGTTGAAAGTACTTGGTTTTGGAAAGACTACATCGGTTCCTTTGCAACAGTGCCTCGAGAATGGATACATCCAGCTTTAAAGCTTCATTGTAGTGGTTGCTGCAAGTAGTGCTCATCGTCTCGTAGGACAATTCAATTCAACTGATGCTTTTGCATGGGCTCTTGTTGTGGTTGGTCGTTGGGTGGCTGTTGTGGTCAAAGTGGAAGACAGCCCTCCTTGTAATGTTTCAATGAATCGCTGGCTTATTAGTTGTCCGATGCGTTCTGAAAGAACGCCAATACATGCAGACTGCAACAACCAACCTGCACGATATGCTGCGCCTGGTCTACGGAGACGTTGTGGTATTTGATTGATGGGCACGTTATCTAAACGATGATAGCTGCTAAAAGCTAAGAGAATGCTGGATGGGGTGGCAAATTATTAATAGTACCGTACGAGACACCAAAGAGCTTCACAGTTCCTTATATCATGATTCCGTGATGGTTTTGTAGGCCATTGTCACCAACAAACCCGCCGAAACAGCGTAGCATTGAAACCGCGCAATAATGGCATTTTCCGATACCGAATACCAGTGGCACAGACCTTGAGCCACTCGGGCACCCACATAGCACCACGCCAATCGAGATAGGTCGGCACTAGCATTAGTTGTTTCGTTGACCAACACCACTGTCGCAAACAGAGGCAGATTCTCCAGGCAATTGTAGTGCGAACAAGACACGCCGTCTAAGAAGCCTCGAATGACCAAACACACGAATCAAGTAGAAGGGTGGTCGTCAATTCTAAATAAATACGCAGATTTTGAGTGCACCGTGAAAATCATGACCTAATGCTTCTAATTATAATTAGTCTTCTCAGAAATTCTTAAGGCCTACTCTAGAATACAATGGGTGGGGAACACGGAAGTGCCCCCGGCCAACTTTGTCGTTAGGTCATAAATCCAACACCTATTTCAACCACAAAATCGCAGAAAAAGGCCAAAAAATGGGAGCCTTGAGTGTGTTAGCTGGTGTGGTGCTGCTATGATGGTGAGGATGGTTGCTTTATCATGCTACAAATCAATGGTCAACTTGCATCCCAGTTTTGATTGATACAGGAAGCCATGCCACAGTGCCCTTACTGCCAAAAGGCAGTATTATCGTACAGTGGATTGAGGCGGCACATCAATAAGAGTACATCATGTAGTGCCGCTGAGCTTCGAGCACTTGGTAGTACTGCTAAGCCGAGGAAGCCTCTCTACTTTCAACAATAGGTCAGAGATTAGCCCCATCACGATCTGAATTGATGGCCAGTCGGTCCAGGTTGGTGGTCTTGGTGGTTGGTGAATCATCACTTCTTTTCACCGTACTTGGTGGTAAACGGGCTCATGCATCATTAGGAGCAACAACATGCATCATCAGGAGCAACACGTCCTGAATCTTCGAAGAGAAGGCGAAAATCTCCGGCGAAGCAGCAACCAAAGGATTCCGGCTTCACGACCAAGAGCTATGCAAACAACAACAATGGCTGAAGCTCATCAAAAGGCGCACGGTTCAAAAGAGGATGCCAGTGCCTTCTTTGAAACACTAGCAACAGATAAAATACACAGCCGCAGTCGGTTCTCCGCCTCGCAACAACAAGAGAGAAACCCAAACCAAGCCAGCAGCCAGAGGTGGCAAACAATGAAGACGAAGAAATGCAGGAGCTTGGGCAAAATCATGACAACAACAACGATTTTTCCACTGATTTGGTCGGTGATAGTGACCTATCGAGGGAAGCTCTGACAAGGACCTTGATTCTGCCGAATATGGAGGAGGTGTGGGGCTTGACGGCAATGTAGTCGCTGGAGAGGATGATTGGAACAACGATGGTTTTCTAAACCAAGACATCAACACACAAGCATGAGAGCAAAGTTCAAATCCTATTGTAAAGAACAAGCGACCAATGGCCTGCCATTCCTTACAAGGAGCAGATTCGTGGTACCAGCTATTAGACATCTTGAAGAGGAAGAAGGCGCATTGGATACCTACGACGAGTTATGTTATGGTACCACCGGAGCAATGGGAATCTGGAAGCAAATGAAACACACAAAATGTCGACAAAATAAACCATATTGGACGAGGAAGTCTCATAAAAGTGCTCAAGAAACGTTACAACATGGACGATCGATTTGCCACCAAAAAGCCTTGCTTCTACCACACAGTCAACAAATCTTGAGTTTGTTTGTCATGATGCATGGGGGTGCATCGAGTCACTGCTTACGGATCCACAGAGTAACAGATGATGATTATTTGTTTTTCGACAATGATCCAACAGCTGAGCCCCCGGAAACAATTGGTTCCTATGCAGATTTGAACACCGGAAAAGGATATAGGGAAGCAGTCAAGACTACAAGAAAGGAATCAAGAAACGTGTTTTCTACCGATTGTATTGTACATTAATGGTGCCGACACTGGAGAAATGAAGAGCATGCCTGTCACTGCTTTTAAGATGGCTCTTGGTATTCACACATGGAAGTACAGAGATCAAGCCCAGGCCTGGAGAGTGTTGGGTTTTGTTGCCTCGGCCAAGAAGCATCTCTCTTTTTA